AGTTCTTCCAGGCCGCCCGGGTCCTTCCAAACCGCAGAATCGGGCCGAAAACGGGCCGAACCCCAAGCCGCCCGACCAGCCAAAGCAGGCCAGCGCCCAGGCCGGGGAGCCGAATAACGAGGCCCAAGCCAGGCCTCCACCACCAGGCCGCCAGAGTTCTTCCCGGCCAGAGTTCTTCCCGGTCGCCCGAATCCTTCCAAGCCGCCCGAGTCCTCCCAGCTGCGGCCGGGTCCTCCCAGCCGCGGTCGAACAAGCCGAGCCCAGACTGGAAACGGGCCGAACGGATGGGAGACTGGCCGAACGCCAGGCCTCCTAACCGGCCGACGCCGGGAGCTGAATAATAGGACCGAAGCCAGGCCACCAAGTTCTTCCAGGCTGTCCGAGTCCGAGTCCTCCCAGCTACAATCGCCCAAGCCGGGCCCAGGCTGAAGACGGGCCCAGGCTGAAAACGAGCCGAAACGGGTCGAGGGCGGGCCAGAACCGGGCCGGGCGGGCTAAAACGGGTCCGAGCGGGGGATCACCCACCCACCCATCGCCGCAAGCCCCCCGAGACACCCCCAAAACGCCCCCATTCCCACTTGCCGGGTCCGTATGCTACGGAGCGAGCCGTAGTCGATCCGCCATCTTGGGCATGCGCATGTGATCCGCACAAGAGCGGATGTGCTCTTGTGCGGCCTCCACACCCTCTGAAAGGTGTGCAAGAGGGCCGTGCTTGCTCATGGCCTCCGGAACCTCCAAACATCATGTGAGGATGGACATGCTTTCATGCGGTCATTAGAGGCTGCCAAGACCACATGAGAGCATGCTCCAAAGCCGCTTCAAGAACACAGCAGCCTAATTCTATTCTGTTCTATTTTCTATTCTGTTCTATTTTCTATTCTGTTCTATATTCTATTCTATTCCATTCCATTTAATTCTAATTCCACTCCTACTCTAATTTGTGACATGCCAAACCCAAAAGGTTCATCATCGCTGCTCTAGTGTTAAAAAGAGGATGCAAGCAACAGTTCCATTTAGTGGATGAAGATGATGATGATGATGATGATGATGATGATGATGATGATGATGATGATGGTTATAAGCTGGTCTCACAGTCTCTGCCAGATACTGAGATTGGATTTGACATTTTTATCCATCTATGGAGTCCTCCCCAAGGACCTGAGAGAGGCAGATGTGGATGTTGGATGGTGTTAAAGATATCAACACAGGATGTCAGCTGTTCTTTTGCAATTGACTGATGGAGATTTCACCACCTTGTTTTTTTTTATTTTAGCCAGTGAACATATTTATTACCTGCCTCATATTTTCCCCAGAACAACAACCCTTTGAGGTGGGTTGGGCTGAGAGGAAGGGACTTGCCCAAAGTCACCTGCCATCCTCCATGGCCTAAGGCAGGACTAGAACTCACCGTCTCCCAATTATGTACCTTTATACACCTGTTCAAAGTGAAGAGGGTTTGGTGCACCATTACAGCCTGTTTTAATCAAATCCCAAATGCTCCCAATTTCCTGTGTTCCTGAATTTGAGCATCTGTCTTTAGCAAAACAAGTTGAAGAAGATGTTGGGAATGACTTTTCAGAAGGTTAGAATTCTAGCATCGTTTTTCCCTACTGGCTTTTGAAATGTCTTTCTAAGAAGAAGGGAATTTTGGAGACATGTGCAGGGAGCATGGTAGTCATGTGCTATGGAGGATAGCGGCCAAGAGGAGGTGGGAATGTCCTGTCCACAAAGCTGCAGCTATCCCAGAGGAAAAGCTTGTGGGAAAAGCCTTCCCATCAGCAGTCGTCCCTAATACGGTGGGAGCTGTTTGCCCTTGAGAAATTTCGAGAAAACATTTGCCTAATTTCTACAGCTGCAGATTTGATGGAGAACTTAGAAACAATGGAAAAACAAGACCATAAAGTGTGAACAAGATGCAAGAAAAAGATGCTTCATTGATGATGGAAGCCGGGTTAGGAAAGCCACAATTTTAAACTGTGACCTGCTGAGCAAACTGTAATGGCTTAGTCTGCACAATCCAACGCGCCAGTGGTTCTCAATATTTTCTTATTTCCTTTAAATACCTTTTGTGGCCACGGACCATGGCCATGGACCCCCAAGACTTAACTCTAGATTTAAACATAACATTTCTTCAAGCCTTTGCGGACCCCTGTGACCACAGCTTGAGAAACACTGCAATAAGCCACAATAGGTAGATTCACACTTCATACTAAACCAAAACAAACAAGTAGAAATATTATTACCCTCAAAGGATAGCCCAGAGTTCAGTATAAGATAAGAGACTATATACAGTGAAGGTTTTAAATGAATAAATACAATAAAAGCAACAGCCAACAGATGAAGCAAACAAACCAATTTATGCTCAGTGCTATGTTAAGCCATAATATGGATGTCCTGGAAAAAAATAAACATGACCCAAACGTGGGATTTCAGGGTTGAATGCCTAATGCAGATCCATCCTGTTTCCAAGCTCAGATTCTCTTTTCCGGCAATGGCTGAGCCTTTAGCCATAATAGCAGCAGTTCAATATATAAGTGACTTCAGTCACCCAGTTCAATATATAAGTGACTTCAGCAGTTCAATATATAAGTGACTTCAGTCATATAAGTGACTTCAGTCATTCTAGACAACAAACAATTTACTTATTACAACAATTAAGCAAGTAGTAATAATGTAATTCCAAGAACATACCACTATACCAGGGAATGAAACACCAAGAGCCAAGGAATACATTTTTATTTTATTTATCCATTAGATTTTTATATTGCCTTTATTACTTTATCAGTAACTTAAAGTGGCACATAATGCATAATGTTCCTCGCTCTGAGATCTTTGTAGGAAAAGAAATGAGTCCAATACAGCCATTTTCAGCTATGGCATTTCACACTCTTTTGAAGCAGCCAGCCATATAGGCCTTTTCAAAAAAGAAAACATGGATTGCTCATTCATACAACCCTCGCTTTAGTCAGATATGAAGTCTTCCCCCCTTTGATAAGCCATCTTCTGCTACTTCAAAACTGAACTCAAGAGAAGCATCTCAGGCCAGAAACCAAGAAAAGAAGGACTAGGTGAGACATGATAGCACTGTTCCAATATTTGAGGGGCTCCTACAAAGACGAGGGGTCAAACTTATTTTCCAAAGCACCAAAAGGCAAGACAAGAAACAGTGGATGGAAATTACACAAGGAGAGAAGCAACCTAAAACTAAGGAGAATTTTCCTAACAATGAGAGTGATCAACCAGTGCAACGTCTTGCCTTCAGAAACTGTGGGTGCTCCTTCACTGGAGACTTTCAAAAAGAGATGGGACAACATTTGTCTGAAATGGTATAGAGCAAGGATAGGCAACCTTGGCTCTTTTATGACTCGTGGACTTTAATTCCCAGAATTGCTGGCTCAGGAATTCTGGGAGTTGAAGTCCACGAGTCATAAAAGAGCCAAGGTTGCCTACCCCTGGTATAGGGTCTCCTGCTAAAGAAAGGGGTTGGACTAGAAGAGCTCCAAGGTCCCTTGTAAGTCTATTATTCTATGTTCTACATTCTACCATTTTAGAGATATTGCATCTCTGTCAAAGGCTTAGCAGGGTGGCATGTCTTACTGTGTGTGGATGCTTGAGGCCATCAGTCAAAAGCAGCTTTTAAGCATGAGAGATACTTCTTGGGCAATCCTTATTTTCTATCACTACATTCTTTCCTTGGATTAAATAAACCCCCCAGGCCCAGTAAATCTTCTGACTGCCTTGCTCTGAGAGATCTGAAATCTTTCCTTCCTTGTGATTTCCTCAGAAGACGACTGATGTTCCTCTCATGGAGGCCAACTGCTTTTAGTTCCTTCCATTGTGTAGTTTTATGAGCCCGTGGTTGCCATTTTAGCTGGGCTTCTTATTCCTCTCATGCTGCTGGACCTGTCCTGCAAAGCAATGGAATGACCTCTGACAATAGTATGGTCCATATGGAATTTGGCAGGCTAGGAACCTCTCAGAAGATAGTTTGCGGGTCTTCTGTTCCAGTAAAGAAGAATATTCGTAGCTCTGGGCTGAAATGAGGGGTCTTTGGTCCTCTCTGTGCTTGGTTGTTTCCTTGCAGATGTTTCATTACCCAAAGTAGGTAATGTCGTCAGTGCTAGCGAATGAAACATCTGCTAATGAAACATCTACAAGAAAACAACCAAGCTCAGGGAGCACCAAAGACCCCTCAGGTCTCCTGTTCCTTTGACTTCTCCAAAGTCAATGGCCTTTTTTTGAATTCACAAGCCAACATCTTGTAAAGGAAGAGGTGGGCAAACTTTCAGATGGTGTCTTAGACCTAAATAGTTGAGAGGGAAAGTGCGTTGAATGCCTCTGAAGCTCCACGGAGAGGTAGGTGAATGGGAAGGTCATGCCTGACCAACAGCAATTGGCCCTTTTCATTGGGAAATGTTGAATTAAGATAAAGGATTCCTTCTGACAAGGGTGGACCAAGGCTATTGTGCCACAGAAGATTCCCTTCTACATGGGAATAGTAGGATTTAAGCTCTAATAGATCAGAGGCTTTGGCAGGTAGCTTCAGTTGTCATGCTAAGCCGTAGCTTGCTTTAATCTTGGTTTAGGGAGTGAACTACAAGACATTAAATGATAAAGCTTCCTTTTAAAAGGTTGAGTTGACAGTAGTAACATGCTAAGCTAAGCTGAAGCGGAAGAGGCCACACAATTGTGAGAACCAGGAATGGGGGCTGATCTGTGTTGTAAATAAATGGTGTGAGGGGGAAGATCCCTCCCGTGTACAGCTGCAGCACCGGTTCAGTTTAGGACCTTGCACAGCTGTCATTCCTGGAACATAAAAACTTGTAATTTTTTTCTTTTTTTGAGATGCCTAGCAGCTCAGTCTTCCATCTGCTGATCTCAATTCTAGCCCTTTCCCAATGAAAAATGATCTGTACCTGAGGTTTTTAAGCGATGGAGGAAGAGAAGAAAAGCTGTGTTCATTTGTATTCATGCCCTTTTCTGTCTTTTTCTGATTGCAGAGATTTAAGTAACAACAGGATTTCTTCGCTAGAAGATGGAGTGTTTGATAATTTATTTAATTTAACTGAAATGTAAGTCAACATGCTGAACTATCTTATATTTTCAAAAATGTGCTCACTCCCTTGGGATGTGGTCTTAGGATTCTGGAATTCTAAATTCCTTAACTGGTTTTTTGCTGCATCCATTTTTACCTGCTTTAAGGGAGTGGGAAGGGGAGAAAGAATCAGATGGTGCAGCTTATTTAGGCCGTTATATTATTCACTTTATTAAAAATTGTGTGTGTGGGGGGGGATTTTCATCAAGACCACAACAGTAAGCGTTTGCTTCTAGCGGATGAATTTCATCGGGATTATGACTTGACAGGGAAGGCTTTGTTTATGCTAGCTGTTAAATAAAAATATCAGATAAATATAATTTCTAATAATACAGTTTTCATCATGTCTAGGTTTAAAGCCCTACTTATTCTAAAGAGGATTAGTCTGATTATAACCTTTATCCCTTTCAAAATACCAAATAAAGTCTCCTTTGAATCCAGCTAGTCGCCTGGTGTCAACATGAGCATATCCATGTTGTTTTCTTGGCAATACAATTCAAGTGGCTCGCCAGTGCCATTTTCCAAGATTGCTTTGAATTTCTAATCCAGCCAAACACCTATCAAGTACTGATTTAAATTAAGACTGACAAAAAGGTATGGAAATAAATAAGCAGGATATCAGGATCAGGCCAAAGTGAGGCCTCCTGTTACGTGCAGTGGTCAAGAAGAAAACTTTCAGAAGCCCAGAGCTGAAGACCACGGCCATCTCCTGCCATTGTTCCTTGGCAGATGCTCTTCACAAGGTGGCATCATGGACTTGAGGAAACATATTAACCTTTTGCGAAGTGGTTTCACCCCCCCTTTAAGCCACCTAGGTTCAGCCATCAGCATAATTAATATTTATTTAAGCAATTTGTCTCTTGTCTCATTACTTGTGAATTCTAGGCAGTTAAGTAATTTCACGCACTGGCTGGAGTCACACGTCGTTTCTTTTAACCATGCTTTGTTGAATAAGCCACAGTTGTCTAAATTCAGTTGTGCTAAGGCCAAGTTGTTGAGTTTTATTTCTTGGCTAGGGTTGTACTATAGCATGCCTTGAATATGAAATGCAGGCCAGTATGGAAAAACCCCTCTGCTTTTTCTCCACCATCCTTCCATTTGCTGTTTCAGTAGTTACTGTAGAATGAAAAGAGGCTGTTTCCCCCCCCCCCCAATGTCTTTCAGAGACTTAAGTGGGAATCCATTTTTTTGTGATTGCAACCTGGCCTGGCTCCCCCGTTGGGTTGAAGAGAGAAACGTGAAAGTGTCCCGTCCGTCCGAGACTCAGTGTGCTCAGCCTCTGGAATTGGCTGACCTCCCACTTTTCAATGTTTCCTTCAGTGACGTTACTTGCGGTAAGGCAAAGGAGGCAATGTGCACGCGGGTCAGAGATGGGGAAGGAAGCATTGGAGAGCAAAAGTCCAGAGGTCATTCAGCCACAACCACGGACCATAAAACAGAGCCCCAGTTTTGTACAAGTCACTATTTTGTATAAATTGACATTTGAATCCAGTATTCTGTTGGCTTTAGGGATAATGTTGTGCAAAGCATGAAGAAAAATAAGCAGCGAGGCAAGGAAATTAAAAGAGGGATAGGAGAAAAAGAAGGGGAAAAATTAACTTTAGATTAAATGTGAGATGGATATTTAAGGGAAAATGTGTCAGGGTATCACATGGTTTAATTCACCCGGTTTCGTATACAGGTAGTCCTCAACTTACAACAATTCATTTAATGACTGTTCAAAGCTACAATGGCACTAAAAATGACTTATGACTGTTTTTCACACTTACAACTGTTGCAGCATCCCCATGGTCACGTGATCAAAATTTGGATGTTTGGCAAATGGTTCATATTTATGATGGTTGCAGTGTCCCAGGGTCATGTGAACACCTTGTGCAACCTTCTGACAAGTCAAGTCAATGGGGAAGCCACTTAACAACTGTGGCAAGAAAGGTCATAAAATGGGGCAAAATTCCCTTAACAAATGTCTTATTTAGCAACAGAAATTTTGGGCTCAATTGTGGTTGTAAGTCGAGGACTACCCGTATTGTGTGAACCTTGTCTATCAGTCTCACATTAGTGGGTATTCAGGACCTTCCCAGCTGGTCTTGTTGGGTTTCCCAAACTCAGCATTTCCCTACCCTGATCCTGGCCTGGTCTTCTGCTTAGAGGTTGGTGCGTTTGCCTTGGCCCATCTACATAATGCCAAATGCAACAATAGCAATAGCACTTAGACTTATATACCGCTCCACAGTGCTTCACAGCCCTATCTGAGCGTTTTACAGAGTCAGCCTCTTGCCCCCAACAATCTGGGTCCTCATTTTACCCACCTCAGAAGGATGGAAGGCTGAATCAACCTTAAGCCAGTGAGACTCGAACTGCTGGCAGTAGGTAGAATTAGCCTGCAATACTGCATTCTCACCACTGTGCCACTATGGCAATAGAATAGAATAGCACTTAGGCTAATATTCCACTTTTACAGCCCTCTCTGAGTGGTTTACAGAGTCAGCCTGTTGCCCCCAACAATCTGGGTCTTCATTTTACCCACCTCGGAAGGACGGAAGGCTGAGTCAACCTTGAGCCGGTCAGGATCGAACTGCGAAACTGCTGGCAGCTGGCAGTCAGCAGAAGTAGCCTGCAATACTGCATTCTAACCACTGTGCCACCACGGCTCCACGGCTCAAGCTCTTGTAGAGAGTGTGGAGGGTGATCTTGACAAAGATGTACAAGGATCGCTATTTAGGCAAGAGGGGCTTGAAACACTTTTTAAGTCCAGAGAAACAAGAAGCAGTTCAGGTGGATCTCTCCCTGATTCACAGGAGTCCCAAAGGTGTTTTTTTCCAAAAGGCAACTGGACTTTCTTAGTTTTTCTTTGAAAACAAAAAAAAAACAACCCAACCAACAAGAAAGTTTTCCTTCTGGAAAAAAAAGCATCTTTGGACAGCCATGACCTGGATGACTGAGAATCTCCATAGACTGATTCACAGGAGTATAAGAATGGGGAGGAGGTACAGACTTGAATGACAATAACACAATAATATTCTCAGAGTGATTGTGTTATAGCCAGTCTCAGTAAAACCAGTCTTAGCGTTCTGGTGGAGTTGGTTTCCTGGTCTGGTCTACTAGTGGGGTTGACTGTTCCTAGCCTAGGGAACTTCCCTCCACTTCATCCAAGCAAGGTCCTCTCTCAGGATGTGTGGCCCAGAGTTACAGGGTTCGTGGCCTGCTCGGTAGAGAGCATCCCCACAGGGTAAAATGCCTGACCTGGCTGTGCTTCTGTTGTTTCTCCTTCCAGGAGCCGATTACTTTGCCTGCCTGCCGGATAACAGCACAGGCGGAGCTGATTCTGTTATCCGATTCACTTCCCATTTGCCACAGAACCTGACGGAGGAGATGTGCAGCGCACTTTGCTATGCTGACGGACAAGACTATGGGGGCTTCAGTGAGGAAGCTGACTGCTTTTGTGGCTTTGCTCTGGAACCCAATGCTTCCTCTGGCTGTTTGCCCTTCTGTGCCAGGCCCCTGGCTGGACCCCTCTGTGGGGGACCAACGCTGCTTTCCAGGGTCTTTCCGGCTCTGCTCCCCGTGTCCTTGGAGGGTCCAGGGACACCGTGTGGTGTTTACCAAGAGGTGGCTTTTGTTCTCCACCTTCCGGTGGCTGTGGGCATCATTCAGTGGGGCTTTGGGGATGAAACGGGGCTTTTCAATACCACCAAGACCACCATCCTTCAGGTGTACACGTTGCCAGGACTCTTCAGCGTCACAGCCACTGTTTTTGTCGGCAGCCGATTCATCTCAGCGCAGACCGAAATCGAGGTGCTGGCCTCCCCAGTGGAGATGGAACTTCAGTGTCCCCCTTTGGTGAAGACCAATGAAAGTTTACAATTACATATAAGGAATCGTGGAGGAACTGGCCTCTCAGTGGCCTATAACATCACTGTCCAGAACCAAGAGCCTGGAAGAGGTGAGGAGTCAGTGAGCCATGCTGAAGCTTTGGGCTCTAAACATCTTCATTTTGAGCTGACATGAATGAAGAATTCTGCCAACTGGGTTTACGGGCAATGTTACTCTTCCTTCTAAATCTCCCCCTTGAGACAGTTTCTTATATGTGTGGAGGGCATTGTCCTAAGCCATCCTTCCCCAGCCTTGAGTCTCCAAGAACCATGATTCTTGGAGAATTCTTCTTGAAGCTCTTCTCAAGGTTAGAGACAGATGACTGTCAGGAACAAAAAATGGGCCTGAAAGATAAAGTGCTTTGTTCCTAACCTCTTAATTCTCTTTCCACTATCAATAGAAATCAGTAGAAATCAAATTGGAAGTATCTTAGTATCTTAGGATACAAGAGACAACGTCTAGTTTAAGGCTACCAGGCCCTGAAAAGTCTTAACAGCATTTTGCTGTAGTGCTTTGATATGATTTCTGCCTTCAGTTTGAGATGGAGGCTGTTGTGAGGTTCCGTTATCCATAACAGTAAGCAAACCATCTCAGAGGATCTATCAAAGTGCCCAAAACCAGGGAGAGTGAGCATGTTCAAATGTTGCAGCCCTCAGTCCTTCCGAGTGTGTAGGCTCAGGATTTCTATACTTTACCAATGCTAAGTGTTCTGGGAGAGTGATGACTAAGGGCCTGTCGTATCTCTTGTACAGCTTAAAGCCTGAGTTTATGAAAAGAGAGGCTGGTGCATCTTGCTTCTCGGTATTTCAAACCCTTATCTTTCTTGGAATGATTTTGACCTTCCACAGATGAAAAGAGGGTAGAAAAGGAGACATGGCTTTATAGAGGAAACTTTGGGGTATAGGCAAAATTGGTGTTTCTCCCAGATCATCAGTGGACTGGAAGTTTCAAGGAGCCAGTCTACAGTCCAAAAGCTCACTCATGCCTTTTTCGCTGTGCAGTGGTCCTTCCCGGTTGCCCCTCGGACAGCGTGGTCTTCCCTGGGAACAGCCACTGCTATTGGCTTGGAGCAGAAAAGGCAGAATGGCTGGAGGCCCAGAGGCTTTGCCAAGAGCATGGCAGTGGAAGTCTGGCCTTCGTCAGCAGCCCTGAAATCCAGAACTTTTTAGTGTCCAGCGTCACCAGGTAAGTTAGTAAAAACAGGGTCTGTCTAATTTATTGTTTCTCAACCCTAGCAACTTTAAGACCTGTGGACTTCAACTCCCAGAACTCTCCAGCCAGCATGGGTGCTGGAGAATTCTGGGAGTTGAAGTCCTCAAGTCTTAAAAGTTGCTAGGGTTGAGAAATGTCGCAATTGCTGGAAATAAAATAACATTGGTTGGTATGGTATCTTTTGGTATGCTTGAGCTGGGGGTTGGGCTAGAAGACCTCCAAGGTCCCTTCTGTTATTCTTGGTTAAAGGATGGCACTGGAATTCAAGTATTATTGCTGATGGATGTATAGGAGAGAGATTGTTAAGATGGGAATATTCCGATTCTCTGTTGCCAGTTCCTTACCTAACTTCCTCCTCAGTTGCTGGGACAAAGCAGATTGAAGACAGACAAGGGGGCTGGGAGACACTTGTGTTAAGAATTGGCAAGAATGGATGAAGCTCCCCCTCTTGTCCTATGAATGCACCACAGACATTTCTTCTAAGCCAACATTCAAGTGAGAGAACCAGGGATCGGCCAGTCTATAATTAATGATGATCCACTGCCCACGACTTAGGGGTATTTGTGGGGGAATGTCCCAAAATAAGTGGAGGAGGCATGAAATAAAATAAAGTTAACTTTACGCCAAATATAGTGATTAGTCTCCAGTCATGTTTATATTTTTCTCTCCTTTAGACACATTGAAAATTATTATAATGAAGAATAAAATCATTAAATGCCCAAACCTTTGGAGGTTCCTGGGGACTAGGACATGACTTTGGTGGCACATGTGGCCACAGGGACTTGGAGTTCAGATCTCTGGGTTGTTTGGAGGTCACCATCATAGAATCATCTGTTGGAAGGGACCTTGGAGATCTTCTAGTCCAACCCAAGGCAGGAGACCTTATCCCAGACAAATGGCTGTCCAACCTTTTCTTGAAAAGTCGTTCCTGTTGGCAGTTTTCCTTTTGCTCACCGACTGCAGAACCATCCCCATCCTCGGGGATGTTGCTGTACCCTCCTCCCTGCATCCATTTTGTTTTTGGGGTCGCCCTGTGAGGTAAACATGGCGAAGCGTTGCTCTCAGTTCCATTCAACGAGGGGAGACGAATGAGGGAAATGTGGGAAAGCAACACCAGGGAAATCTGTTTCCCATTACCCTGTGTGATTGCCAAGGACCCCCACACACACATACACACGCAGTCACACATTGTGGTTGCTTGATGACTCCCTGATCTACCTAGAGTTTCTTTCTTGAAGCAACTGCTGGGGGAGGGGGCAGCTGGGTCGGGTGCTGCTGGGGACCTTGAGATTGATGGATGAGGTGAGGTGGGTTACTCAGGTAAAGCGTCTTCCTCACTTTGGGGTCTGGTGCCAGGGGGGCAGCAGTGGGTGGGCCTGGCGTGGCTGCTTTTCTGCAGTGAGATCATGGCTGGATGAGAACAGGAACCTCTCTTGGGGGACGGCAGCAAGCAAGGTGGTTGTTTCGAGACCAGTCCCTGGGTCAGCAGGGCCAGGAGCGAAGGAGCAAAACCTCCCCGTTGCTTATCCTTTAGGCATATTTTTTGTGCCTTGAGAAAAAAGAGGAGGAGGAGGAGGAGGAGGAACTTGCCGGATTGCACGGGCAAGTTATTTTTGTCTATTTTTGTCGTGGCATTCTTGCTGTGAAAGCTCTTTCTGACATGACTTCATTACTGTGGCTGGCAAAGCATCTCCGTGGTGGAGAAACCATTGATTATCTCTGGAAGTCAAGCCCGCCATCCTGTTTGCACAGGGCTTAAACAGGCCCAGCAGAGGGCGGGAAGCTGGCAAGGTGTGAATTTGGAACCACTTTTTCATTTTATTTTTTTTTAAAAGAGGAGGGGAAATAAAGCTTTTCAGCCAGCTTGACTGCACGGCCCCGTTCCTCCACCACACTTAATTCAGTCAGTTATGAACCCCAAGCGGCCCCTTTTCTCCCCAAAATGCCATGAATGACAGGGCCACATGTCTGTGCCAGCCTGTGCCAGATGGCAGCTGGTGTAGCTTGGCCCTTGTTGGATCTTAGAACTGGACCACTATGACCTCACTGGCTCAGTGGGGACTTCCCATAATGGGGCAGGTGGGCCAGAGTTGGTGCCTGGCCCTGGGTTAAATCCCATCTTCTAGGGATCCACTCATCTGTCAAGCAGCGTTCTCTTAAGTCAACTAATCAGCCTGTTGCCCCTGTGGGGCAGAAAGACCCACCCAGATGGGCGGTATTCACTGGTTAATTGCCCTCACTGTTAGGAAGTGTCTCCTTAGTTCTAGGTTGCTTCTCTCCTTGATTAGTTTCCATCCGTTGTTTCTTGTCCTGCCTTCAGGTGCTTTGGAAAATAAGTTGACCCTCTCCTCTTTGTGGCAGCCCCTCAAATACTGGAATCCTGCTATCATGTCCCCCCTAGTCCTTCTTTGCTCTAGACTAGCCAAACCCAAATCCTGCAACCATTCTTCGTATGTTTTAGTCTCCAGGCCTTTAATCATCTTAGTTGCTCTTTTTTGCACTTTTTCCCAAAGTCTCAACATCTTTTTTGTAATGTGGTGACCAAAACTGGATGCCGTATTCCCGGTGTAGCCTTCCAAGAAGCTTCTTCAGTTCAGAAGTGAAGGAAGGAAAAACCAAATCCAGTTGCCTTTTGAAAAAGCACCTTTGGGGCAACCATAGCCTGGATGGCTGAGGATCTCCCTAGACAGCTCCCGGCAGGCTTCTTCTCCCTCCGGCAGGGTGCTTTGCCCTGAGTTCCACCCAGGGTTCCACCTCAGTGACTGCCCAAAAGACATGGGACTGCACCCTGTGTTCTTGGGGTGGGGCAAGGGCTTGGGAGGGGGGCTGAGGATGTGCCAGCTGCTGGCAGGGAAGAGGTAAGAGCCAGAGCAGAAGGAACAATGACACCAAGTGTGCACCTATGTCTGACTGGACAGGAAATGCCCACTTTTGTTAAGGGAGGGGGATAATTTTGAGTAGTATGTTTTGGCAGAGGCTGCTGGTTGCAGGGGAGTGGAAGGCAGAATGAAGCCCACTCTAGTGATGGGTGGGTTAGAACTGGGCTTGTACGGGGAAGTCTCGCTCCTGCCGCCCTTTCGCAAGAAGGTCCCCAACGTGGTGCCCTGGAGCCCAGCAGCCTGCCAAGTGGGGGGTCTCCTGGTGTTTTCAGAGGCTGCTTTGAACACATTGTGCAAGAGCCCTTTAAGTCTCTTAGCAGAGGGCCTGAGTGTCGTTCTTAAAGGATTCCAGACACGGATAAATGTCTTCACATGAAGAGGAAGATTATTCCAACCAGATGTGCCCAAAATACTTGAGAAAATGCCCCGGCTTTGAAGTCTGGTTTCCCTGGGAGGGGCTGTTCCTCCCCACCTCCAACTAGGAAGTGCCTGCATCTGTAAGCTGGGGAGAAGGTGTGCAGAATGGGGTTGACATCTTCATGCCTGTGGGCAGGGCTGAGTTGCATTTCCACCTCTGAGTGGCAGAGCATTAACTGTCCTCTCTCTTCACCCCTCTGATGAGCGGGGGCTTGGGTGGCTTGGTTCTGATTTAAAGTCCCCCCCCTTGATAGTTTGCAAGAAGCCTTGTCAGAGGAAAGAATATCACTGTAGCCCAGAAAGGACCTGTGGCCAGATGCCAGGGTGGTTTCCCTGGGAAAGGAATTCCAGGCAGGGGTGCCCCTGCCAAGGAGAGATGGCCTTTGGTCAGCGGAGAGGGGGGGGCTTAGAAGAGGGTGCCTGGGGATGCTTGCAAAGCCCAAGAGGCTCACGGGGAAGGGGTGCAGAGGGACAGAAAGGCAAAACTGAGCTCTGAATGCAGGTGCGGCTATTTGAGAATGGGCTAGGTTGAACCCGGAGAGATCCAGTGCCCAGTCTAAGCTGCAGCTCTGCTGGTAACTAATTGAAATTTCTGGGAAGGCAGCCCCCACCGTCCATGCAGCCTCCGTTGGATGTTGCCAGGACACACAGGATGGTCTGCCTAGGCAGGCTGCCTCAAACAAAGGCTCCCTTGCCAGCAAGGAGAGATGGGTTGGTACATTTATTGGGAGTTTCCCCAAAGGTTGGGGCTGGACACTGTCAAGCAATAGAACGTAGACTTCTGTACTGTCCCATAGCACTTTACAGGACTCTCTGAGTGGTTTACAATGTCAGCATATGGCCCCCAACAATCTGGGCCCTCAATTTACTGACCTGGGAAGGATGGCTGAGTCAACCTCAAGCTGATCAGGATCGAACTCCAGGCTGTGGGCAGAGTTTGCCTGCAATGCTGCATTCTAATCTCTGCACCACCACAGTGAAACCAGGAGGGACAGTGCCCCAAGGCTGCAGGATCCCAGGATATCCAAACCTTCGGTGTGGTCCCTTGCAGTTGTTCCAGAAGTTGTAATTTTCCATGGATTGACTGGGAAATGGTTAGTCAGGTGTGTGGACCCAGCCATTGCCAGGAACCAGGGTGGGATCATGGGGAAGGTGCTGGATTAGAGCTGGGAGACCAGGTTCTGCTCTCTGGTCACCCAGCCTACCTTACTGGGCCATTGTGGGAGAGACATTCTCTTCATGCCTCCTTGAGTTCCTGTACAAGAAGGCAGAGATAAGTCAAATAAATGAATCAATAAAAATGATCTGCTCTAATTAAAACATTTGTCTTAACCTCAAGGGGCCTACACATCCTTGACTCAATCCTTCTCTTAAGTGTGTCAAGGCATTTCTTACAGGTTTTTTTTTTTTTCATTTGGGACTTCAATCATGTAGCCCCGGGCTCTCCAAACCTGGCAACTTTTAAGACTTGTGGACTGGCTGGCGAGTTCTGAGAGTTGAAGTCCACAAGTCTTAAAAGTTGCCAAGTTTGGAGAACCCTGTTGCAGCCATAGCTGCCATCCTGCCTTTCTTGACCTGGCCTCCCAGTGAGTGCTCCTGAACCAACCCAAGCACTTGCTTCCCTTTGTGCTTGCACGCACTCAGTGTTGTGGCTCTGTCTTGTGAGCCCCTCTTATCGGAGGAAGAAGGCTCCAAACATGAAGGAGAGGAGATGGCTAGGCCTCCCTCTCCAGGACCCTCCTCTTTGGCAATGCCTCAGGTGTCTCCCGACGGAGAAGAGATTGACCAGGAGCCAGGTGGTTCTGAGATTGGCCAGGAGCCAGGTGTGTCGGATAATGAGGAAGAGAAGTTGTGGNGACGTGCCAGAGATTAAGCTGAGTCACTGGACCACACCCCACAGGCTATAAAAGGGTGGTGGTGGCCATTTGGACCTCTGTGACGGACAAAAGCTGAATCTCTGGTGAAGTAGTTTGCTGTGGCTTTAAACTGTGTGTATTGTTTTTTGTTTCTGTGTGCTTGGAGTAAAAGGTCTTGGCAGGCAGCTACGGAGCTGCTGCCAAGTTTCTTATCTGTGAAGTGGTGCCTGGAGAAGTCTTTAATCCTCGGCTGGCTGTTTGGGTGTGTGGGTCGGAACGGGGACAGAACACTCAGCCTGCACACGTTCCCACACTGATACACGTTTCATTGTGAGAAAGGGAAGGTCATTTCCTCCTGGAGAGGTCCAGCTGCTTCCATCTCCTTGCACATGTTCCTGTCAGCCAGGCTCTCCCGGACAGGGCATGTCATGCTGATGTCTCCCTGACCCGGCCTGCGCTTTCTCTCCCCCAAGGAGCCTGGATGTCTGGATCGGGTTTAACGACGTGGCAAGCCCCAGCCCTTTGCCGCAAGGCGAGGAAGGCTTTGATTTGCAGAGCTGCCAGAACTGGCTCCCGGGTGAGCCTCACCCCTCCAACGCCGATCACTGCGTCCGGATGGGTCCTGCTGGGCAGTGCAACACCGATCTGTGTACGGCCAAGCACAGCTATGTGTGCGAGCACAAGCCTCAAGGTGGGTTTCATCCCGGGGCTGTGCAGGGTCTTGTCTCCAAAAAGCTAAGCCAGGAACGATGCACCGGCTCAACGTGACCCGAAGAGAACTCCAGGATTTTGGAGTGTCCTTTCAGTCCCTCTGACTCTCCAGGCTTCCCTAGCAAGAAACCCCCCGTTGCCTTTAGAGTAGGGAGGGTTAGGGTTTCTCATGGCTGGAGTTGCCCTGGACATGGCCAGGGACACCACAAGATCTCCAGATGAGTTCCACCAAGTCTTGGACTTAAGGGTTTCAAAGGGCAAAGTTTATGCAGGTATGTTTCACCCCCCCTCCCATGGAAAATGGTTTCTAGTGTTTTGAGGGCAATGAAATGGGTGCATGAAAGCCTCTACTAGGTAGCATTTAGCACCCATTTTGTCAGTTTGCTCCAGGCTCCTCCAACTTGGCAACTTTAAGGCTCATGGACTTCAACTTGCTTGCCTCCAGAAATCGTGGGCGCTTCATCACTGGAGATTTTTAGGAAGAGACTAGACAGTCACTTATCTGAGATGGTATAGGTTCTCCTGCTTGAGCAGGGGGCTGGACTAGAAGACCTCCAAGGTCCCTTCCAGCTCTTTTCTATTCTAAATTATATTCTAACTCCCAGAACTCCCCAGCCAGCCATGGTTGAAGTTCCTGGGAAGGCAGCCTACAGATTCCTGGATTATTCCAACCCCATCAGTTAGACAGACCCATGAAGGACATTACTCTTACCAAAGTTATCAAAAGGATGCAGGTTGTCTCATAGATTGGCCATGCCTGACACAGAAGAAAATTGAGCAAATTTGATTTCTTTTGTAGCTGGGAGGGTGGGAGGTATTATGTAATGAAACAGAAAAAGAAAAAAATATACAGTAGAAAATGGGGGCGGGGGGGAAGAACCACCGAGCCAATTATTTGAAGCAAGATACGCTTTCTGATGAAAGCCTGTGTCCCTTTTATGCTGCTGCTTCCCCAGGCGCCTCTGTGAAAGTTTTATTTGGAGCAGAAAAAAATCAAAGCAAAATTATGTGAAAATTCCTCAGATTTCAGAATTTGGGAGACCGCTGTTTAGAACATTGCTTTTGGAATAAGAAAAAGAGATTAATGTTCCTCCCCACCCCCCATTTTTTCCCTTCGCTCCTTCCAGTGGAGATTCTTTTAAATGCTGACCACTTTCGACTGGGATCTCTTGTATTTGACACCTACGTGGCCACCAGAAGCCTCACCGAAAGAGAAGAAGACGCACCTGCCCCCTCAGGGCCAGTAGAGGTGAGGAGCGCTCACAGTCTCCCTTGGGTGGAGATCGCTTACGAGAGATCGGGGTGAAATCTTGGCCCTTCTGTTTTCCAGACTCTGGTGTTCCCTCGCTTGGCGTTTCAACAAGAGGGCTTTTTAGTAGCCTTGGAGCTGGTGACGCAGAAGCTACAACGGCTGGCCCATGTCTGGTTTCGAGTACACCGTCCAGCCCACCCAAAAGGTGAGAGAAGGTTAGATAGATCAGACGCTCTGGATGCTAGTGATCCAGGTGTCTCTGATGTCATGGGCTAACAGTTCTTACTTTCAACTAATGACGATATCTTGCCCTGCCCTCTGGAGCAATGGAAAACAACCTTTCGTCCTGTATGCTGCTCTCCTCTGGGTAATTGGAAGATTCCTTTCCCTCTCCAGGTCCTGTCTAAGGAGCCTTTAGGGCAGGGGGTTGGGCATCCAGAAATCCGGTCCGCAACATGCCAGAAACCAGGCCACAGAAACAAGCGAAGCTCCATCCGCAGGATGCAGGCAGCACACGAAACCACACCCCCTCCAGTCCGTGGGAAAACCTCTCTCCTCAGAACCTGTCCCTGGTGTCCAAAAGGTTGGGGGGCACTGCTTTAGGGGCACCTGTTGTGAATATTCCTGCTGCCAGACACTCTAGTTTGAGCATCCCCCTTCAGTGGCATTAAAACCTGATGCAGCTGCTCTTCTAGGGACCCTATCAGGCAATGGACTCTTGGCCTAAGCCTTTGACAGTGTGATGCAGCTGCTAAGAAGGCAAATGCTATCTTGAGGCGCATTAATAGGAGTAGAAAGTCCAAATCATGGGAAGTCATAGTTGCATCTTTTGGGGCATGATCAATTTTGGGCACCACAGTTCAGAAAGAACAGGGACAAGCTGGAGTGGGTTCCAAAGGAGAGTGAAGACAGGAAAGGACCTGGAAACCAAGGCCCATGAAGAGGGGCCAGAGAATTTAGCCTGCAGAAAAGTCGACTGAGGCAAGTATAGCAATAGCAACAGCACTTAGAGTTATATACCGCTTTACAGTGCTTTTACAGCCCTCTCTAAGCGGTTTTACAGAGTCAGCGTGTTGCCCCCAACAATCTGGATCCTCATTTTACTGACCTCGCAAGGACGGAAGGCTGAGTCAACCTTGAGCCGGTCAGGATCGAACTCTTAGCTATGGGCAGAGTCAGCCTGCAATACTGCATTCCAAACACTGCACCATCATGGCTCTTGTATGATATCAGTCTGAAATACCTGAAGAGTTGTCAAGTAGAAGTGGGACTGGGCTTGTTTTCTGTTGCTCCTGAGGGCTACAAGGAAAGATGCAAGATGTCTGAACTGCCAGATGATGGAACAGGGGCCCAGTGAAGTGGCGATGAGTTCTCCTTCAGTGGCTGGATGGTCATCTGGCAGGGATCCTGGGTTGAGCAAGAGGTTGGCCTAGGTCAGGGGTAGGCAACCTTGGCTCTTTTAAGACTCGTGGACTTCAACTCCCAGAATTCCTGAGCCAGCATGGGGGAACTATGGCCCCTTCATGACCCGTGGACTTCAACTCCCAGAATTCCTGAGCCAGCCTGGCTCAGCTTGGAAACCTCTCCCTTTCCCCTCAGCATGGCTGGCTCAGGAATTCTGGGAGTTGAAGTCCACGAGTCATAAAAGAGCCAAGGTTGCCTACCCCTGGCCTAGGTGGCCCCTAAGGTACCTTACCTAGGATTCTGTGACTGAGAAGTGGTTGTTGTCTATTCTATTCTTTTTTCTATTCTATTATTTTATTTTCTGCTCTTCCTTTTTGGATTGTTGGTTTGTTTTTAAGCTACAGTCATTTTATATGGTTTTTTTTATCAGTATAAACTATTGAAAGTCTGGGTAAACTATACTGGCATAAGTACCGTTGAGAAAGAATGATCAATATGCAAATGCCCCACTTTGAATATGGCATGCAAACTATCTTAACCCATCACTCTTCATCTTTCTGCAACCTCATTTTAGTAGGGAGAAAGGGAGAGGCTGGAAATAAATCGAAAGGTTTATTCTGTTTGCACGATGCTTCCAGAGAGAAAAGTGCTCTGGGAGAGTAGAAAGACGGTTTCTAGCTTAGAATGGTTGGGCATAAGAACGTTTCTGTAAAATACTGAAATAGCAAAGTAAGAACCGGGGCGCTAATGGCATGTTAGAGTCTCATTAAAACCAGGTAGATAAAAGCCGTAGTGTGTGTAAACGTCAATAATTTATGAGATTGGATTTTACACGGAGATGGGGAACTCTGTTAACTTAAGAAAAATATGAGAGATGGATTAGAGCAGGGGTAGGCAACCTCGGCTCTTTTAAGACTCATGGACTTCAACTCCCAGAATTCCCGAGTCAGCATAGAATTCTGGGAGTTGAAGTCCATGAGTCATAAAAGAGCCGAGGTTGCCTAACCCTGGATTAGACAATTAAAGTTAAGGGTTGGGGGGGGGGGAACCCTGCTACGTGAAATTCTGAGGCCTCCTCGGCTCGAGGTCTTCAGACGAGGGTCTTCACTCCTCTCAACCCGTTCCAATCGGTCCTCTGCCAGAGGGGTCCCAGGGGAATTTGAGGTGACTTCTCAGCTCCCTCATTCACTGCAGTCTATACAGGTAGTCCTCGACTTACGACCACAATGGAACCCACAATTTCTGTTGTTCAGTGAGGTATTTGTTAAGTGAATTTTGCCCCATTTTACGATTTTTTCTTGCCACAGTTGTTAAGTGAATCTGGCTTCCCCATTGACCTTTGACCCGTTGTCAAAAGGTCGCAAAAGGGGATCACACGACCTTGGGACATTGCAGTGGTCATAAGTATGGGCCAGTTGCCAAGCATCTGAATTTTGATCACGTGATCGTGGGGATGCTACAAAGGTTGTAACTGAAAAATGGTCATTAGTCCCTTTTTCCATTGCCGTTGTAACTTTGAACGGTCACTAAACGAACTGTTGTAAGTCGAGGACCGCCTGTATACATTGGTGCCTCCTACAAAGTGATCAAGTGATGTCTGTTATCCCCACCGTCTTCTCGAACCTGAGCATCCTCCAGATGTGTGGACCGACCTCAGAAATGATCGTGCTGCCCAGGCAATTGTAGGCCGCCCATCTGTGGCTATTCAGGTTGGAGAAGATTGCTGGCCAATAGCTGTGTTATGTGTGTGACTTGCATGCTGCCTCTGGGAAGGAAAACCCCCCATCCCCCAACCCCATTGCAGAGGAGGAAAGCAATATTCCTGAGAATAAATGGGGACAAGCACCAAGGAGAATGATGTTCCCCACTCCTCTGTTAATGCTTGGTTAGCTGGAGGTCAAGCAATGCTATAACACTCCATCTGGCAAACTCTGGAGAGAATGTTTGTGTGTGTGTGTGTGTGTGCGTGTGGTGTCTTAGATGGTGACCCCTCCCATCATTTCTCTTCACATGCAGCCTTCTCCTAGGGGTTTTTTTGTGGCCAACATTAAACATGTATTTTACTCTGCTCTGGAAGAAGCTCAGACAAAGCCAGAGTATTATTTGTTCTTGTTTTCCTTCAGAATGCAACGAGATCACAAACGTCACTGACCTCTTCCTTGTTCCCCAAGAGAATGAGACTTGGACACCAGTGGACTGTCCGGTTGGCCTCCAGTGGTGCCACTCGGCCAACTCATGCCAACCACTAGGAAGCTGCCGCCACCAAGAGCCATGTGCCACTTCAACACCTCCAGCAGCTTCTGGTGTTCCCCACCACTGCAAAAATAAATCCTGGAGCGTGGAGCTTAAGACATCGCATTTTACGTTGCCCCTGGGCCCCTCCACGCGGTACCTTGTAAGTGGAGAGTCCTTGGCAGAATTGATGCGTGATCAGGGTCTGTTTTGTAGCTACCGAGCTACTTGAAGCCAGTCTGGAACTGAACTAAAAAGCCAATAGAACTGCCCCGTGCAGCGACAAAGGCTGAGGTTATTCAGAAACAGTGTGGCATGTGCTTTATATTCCTGAATTTTTTCAGTGCTGATTAGTTGTTAAGATTATTCAGAATTCCTAATAATAGCATTGATAAAACTAAGGATGGATATTATGCTCAATTTGTCATCTTGGTTTCAAAGGACAGAAGAGAGCATTGGAAGGGGCCTGGGGCTCTTCCACTTCAACTCAGCGGCAACCAAGGACTAGTCTATGAGTAGGATAGGAGTGCAACACCCCCGCCCCTAATCCAGCCCTTATTCTCTCCTTGATATGGAAAGAATTGTGCCTTTGGTGTTGTCCTCCAGAATTGCCATTGTAATTAGGAGCCACCTATAGCCAAACATCCATGAGGACATTTAAACCCACTTCTGAAATTATCCAATTTAGAGCTTCATTTTGGTCACTGGATTCCAGGGATTTAAATATGTGCTTTTAACTGTCCCGAACCTTCAATCAGCTTCATTGAATAGCATCATATAGGTAGTCCTTGTTTAACAGCCCAGTAAATGGGATCATCATCTCCGCCACTAAGTAATGTCGCTAAGTGGGAAATCACATGACAGCGAAAGCGAAAAAATTAATCAATTTCACATCTTCAGCTTCTGTTTGCCTCCTAACTCCTCCCCACTTTTTGAAATGCTAGAGTGCCTGCTCACTGTCTTGTACACATTGAAAGCAATGTGACTGTGTCATTGCCAGGGCTAGGAGCCCAGAATAAAGTACTCTTGTGAAATTTCTTTCTTCCCAATCTCTTTGAGGGGGGGGAGTGATTTCTGTTGGCAATGTTTCATTTGACTCTTCACTCGCTCCCTCACAGAATGGGGAGAGCAAAGGGATTTCAAGAGATTAAGCTGTCTGCTCTCATACGCATCAAGAGCAATGCGATCTCAGAAAATGGCCAGGCAAGGGAGAGATTGCCTAAAGAAATCGCTTGCAGAGCAGAGAATTTGGAGGGAGGGAGAGAGAGAGAGAGAGAGAAATTTCAAAAGAGAGTGCTATAAACTGTTTATATAATGTGCCCGTGGCGCCCAGACCCAGGCTGCCAGCACGATCACGTTGCTTTCGATGTGTACAAGAGCAAACAGCTTACCTTTTGCAATCCCGTTCTCTCCAATCAATCTGCACTGTAAAGTGGGGGAGTGGGGTGGGTGGGCAGAAACACAGGTCAGACGTACAGTGCATATTGCTCCACTGTAATGGGGTGGTCACATTACTGAGGGATGCTGCAAAGTCGTAAATGATTGTAAATGGTCATAAAATTATTTTTTCAGCGCTGCCTTAAGTTCAAACAGTTGCTGAACAAATGGTCCATAACTGAGGACTACCTGTATGACAAAGTGGCTCACTGGAGTTGCTTTCTTTTTTCTTTTTAATCATTCCAGAAAAAGATTTCTTAATTCTCTGAGCTGCATATTTGCACCTCTTGTGCCCCAGTGCCTGCTTCTGACTTGGTGGGGGGGGAGGGGGGTTGCAATCAAGCCCACACACACTCCCCCACTTGCCTCCAACCCTTAGCTCAAAAGTAACAAATGGGAGGGGGTGCATTGTGTTGGGAAGAATTCATTCATTGGGACTTCTCTTCCACAGTTGCTCTTCAGAAGCAAGGACACCTTTGTCAAACCCAACGACACGGTGAGTGTCCAGCATGATGCCGGGCCTGGCGCTTTGCTTCTTTGCCGTCCCAGCCAAAAGCCGCTGGCCCAGATGAGCTATTTCACCTTCAGCTCTTCGGATTGGGACCCAGGCTGGCCTGCCCACCCCACTCCCCATGGCTGGCAGAACGATTCCCGGTGCCCTTTCAGGATCCTAGTGGCTGCTGAAGAGACTGTCCCACTCCTGCCAAAAAACAACTCCAGCGTCCACCGCCCTGGCCTTTACGTGGTGCAGGCCACGGTCAACAACGGCATCTTCAGGAGGAAGGTCTCCTGCGACTTCTGGGCTCTTTCTGCCATCTCGGGCCTCCACGTCATTTACCCTCCGGAAAAAGGTGGCAGAGTCTACGTGGAAAGCAACAGCACGTGGCTGGTGGTGAAAATCCTTTCCGGGATGAACGCAACCTCTGGCAGGCTGGGGGGCAACCAGAGCTTTCCTTTTGGACGGAGTTGCCCCCCAGCAGTCACGCCACTGGTGGCAGAGTGCGCAAGGGAGACCAATGACACCTGGTTCTCCGTAATCCTGCTGGAGGGCATTGGGCACAACCTGAGCACTGTTGTGCTGTGGGCAAAGAACGCCGTGAGCTCACAGAACATCACCGTCAGGGTGAGAGCAGAGGACGCCATCCGAGGACTGCGTGTGACCCCGGACCCAGAGACCAGGGTCCTGCAGAACAAGCGTGTGGTGAGTCGCCAGCTGCCAGTGTGCCCAAGGGACAGTAGGCGTCAGTTGTGGTTTTAATCTTTTTCAAACAAGGTTTTTTAAACGGCTCAAATGTTGTGGGTTTCAGATTGAGCGCAAAGTGAGATATCAACATGTTTTAGTTTCTTAGCTTTCATTCATTCCTGGGTCTTCCAGGCCATAGAATTTGTTTGAAATGAAGGAGCAATAATGAGAATACATGTAGCTTAAGGCTGATGATGTTACCTGGATGGTAAGAAAGCATCTTATAAGACCAGCTTCAGAGAACACCAAGTGTCACATCAGAATTCAGTTGTTGTGACGGCTCAGGTGAAATCCTTATTCAGTTCTCAAAGTGTACTCTTTTGTCTGCACCTAGAATGGCCTCCTGTTTTCCACTGGGAAGCTCCAAAACACTACAGTGGTCTGCCCCTACGAAGTCCATTCTCCCCTTCTGCTGGAAGGTCCTTCTATAACAATAGCGCTAGCACTTAGACTTATATACCGCTTTACAGCCCTCTCTAAGCGGTTTACAGAGTCAGCACATTGCCCCCAACCATCTGGGTCCTCGTTTTACTGACCTCAGAAGGATGGAAGGCTGAGTCAACCTCGAGCTGGTCAGAATCGAACTCCTGGCTGTGGGCAGAGTTGGCCTGCAATATTGCATTCTAACCACAGCGCCACCAGGTCTCCTAGCCCAGCCTTGGACATCAGCAGGAGGCCGAATGTCAGACCTGCCTCTTTCACAGTTAAGCCTGTTGGTTCCGACTTCCTTCTCGGGAAAAAGGACCTGATGAATGACAGGGCTCAGCTACCAGCCCTTCAGAGGCCTAATTTGAGCCTGGCCAGGATTGATGAAATATGGGCAAGGGTTGCTCCTTCTGAAATTGCTGCTTGTGCCTCTCCACTGCAGAGCTACATCCCTGTGATGGACGCTGGGTCGGACGTCACCTTCAGATGGAGACTGGATGACAAGAGCTCCTTCACTTTCTACAACGATGTCTTCCATGTCCTTTACCAGTCCCCAGCTGTGTACAAGCTGTCGGTAAGTCCAGGCCTCCTAGCAATCCTTCTTTTGTGAACCGTGGGCAAAAACGACGGATTCCCTTTTAAAGTAGCCTCTTGATTGTATGTCCTTCTCTCCTTCCAAGTGGCAAAGAGGAGTTTACCCAGCTTGATTTGCAATCTGGGGTGTACTGTACTCAGCAGGCAGGTGTTCGTCAAGGAATCACTGTCCATGATAGGATGCTTCCCTATAAATGTTTCATTTTTTTTCCCTCTGGCCAAGGGTAATAGAAATAGAAATAGAAAATTTATTTGGGCAAGTGCAATTAGACACACAAGGAATTTGTCTCCAGTGCAGAAGCTCTCAGTATCTATGCAAAGCAACAGAGTAATAATAATAATGATACCAATAAGAGGGCATCATAAAAGGATAATAGCAATACTCCAATCATACAGCATGGGTAAATATACTTAGGCATTAGATAATACTGTGAAAGTTAGGTGTTCAGCAGAGTGATGGCATGAGGGAAAAAATTGTATTTGTGTCTAGTTGTTTCAGCAATCAATGCTCCATAGTGATGTCCCAAGGGGAGGAATTGAAACAGTTTATGTTCAGAATGTGAGAGGTCTGTAAATATTTTTTCAGCCCTCCTTCTGACCTGCGCAATGTACAGGCCCTCAGTGGAAGGCAGCCTGGTTGCAATTGTTCTTTCTGCAGTCTTGACTATTCAGTTGGAGTCTGTGCCTGTCCTGTTTGGTTGCTGTACCAAACCAGACAGTTACAGAAGTGCAAATGACAAACTCAATAATTCCTCTGTAAAACTATATTAACAGCTCCTGGGGCAGTCTAAACTTCCTGAGTTAAAGCAGGAAGAACGTTCTTTGTTGTGCCTTTTTAATGATGGTTCTAAAGTTGTTCTCTAATAAGGCTGCTTCTACGGCCCAGAGAAGCATGTTTAATTAATGCACCTAACAGATGATGGAAAAGTGAACAGTTTTGATTTAGCTGAGACAAATTGTTTTGCCTTGTTAAACCTCAAAGCCAAAATGAGCAACTGATATGAGCTAAAGGTCTTGGCTATCTCAGGTTAATTCTGCCACTTTATGTACCCTTCCTTGTCTAGATCATCAAGATTTTCTCCACGATATTTCAGGGGCCACGTGGGGTTGGTTGTTACTTTGGTCTTCACATGCCGCCTTTCTCACTGTCGAGCTACTCTGGGCAGCTTACAAATTCTGATTCCAGGAAGGATCCCCCGATAGCTCCCTTGGCTAAGATGAGGGAGAACAATTCTTCCAAATTATCCAGGGATCTTCATAGCAGAATGGAAATCTTCATATGATTTTCCCTGATTTAGTATTCTAACCAAGATGCCATTCTGGGGTGTGAGAAGGGATTGAAAGGAGGGCCACTTTGTGAAGTATAAGTGGAAATAAAGAGAGAAACAAAGGGCAGAGCATGATCACCTGGTGATCAACCTCGTGATCGGGCAGGAAAAAGAACGGTGAACATTAGGAAGCAGCAGATGCCCCCAGTTCTGTATTGGTGGATGATGCGCCAAAGCAGTTGGTCTGTGTTCTTTCCAGCTTACAGCCTCAAACAATGTCAGCAATGTCACCGTGTGCTACAACATCACTGTGGAGGAGATGAACAGGATGAAGGATCTGAGGGTCTTGGGGATCTTGCCACACGTTCCTCAGAACAGCACTCTGGAACTGTCAGCAACGGTGACTGCGGATTCAGCTGTCGATGCCAGATTCCTGTGAGTTTTTCCACTGCTCCCCAGCAGACCCAAAAGAGGGAGAGCCACCCTTCCCTGGCATTCAGGCCAATGGGTGGTCCAGAAAGACCAGCAGGAATGCCCTTTGAGAGATGCAGCCTTTTAAAACTCGGCTGTGCAGGCACCAGCTGTACACTGCCCAGATTAATATATGGAGGTTCTTAAGGGAGATCAAGGGCAATCCAATCAGGGAAAGGCTGTGTTAATGTCATTTTGGGCCTTTTACTTTTGCACACCTTTTACACACATTCTGCCAGAGAGAAGTTCCTTGAGGATGGACTCCAGTACAAGTCCAAAAGGCTTGGAAGACTAAACCTCTGGTCCCAGTGACCGATCCAGATTGGATCCTTTTATTTCTGTTTCTCTCAATAATAATACATACTTTAAAACCACTGTGAATTTGTTTCCCTCTGCAAGAGTCTTTTCTACTTTGGCCAGAAAAAGGACACTGAGTTAACAACTGACCTGTCACTCTTCTACTGACAGTCTCGTTTTGTGACTCCCCAGATGGGATTTTGGTGATGGTGACCAAGTCATTTTGGAGTTCCATCCTCCCTACAATGAATCCTTCCTGAAGCCAGATCCCAAGATTCACCAGGTGCAAATTGGGCACAATCTGTCCCATATCTACCAAGATCCAGGTGAGAAATTCTTTTGGATATTTGAAATCAAAATCAAGTAGGATCCACACTTCCAGCAGCCTCCGTATCTCTTCAGCAAATCATGACTAAGTAAACTATGCACAGTTCAAAGGAGTGGGAGGGTCAGGATGAAGCCTGCATTAGAGTTAACTTAAAATCTCCTAATATGGGGTCCCCAACCTGTGGGCCACTGCCCACTACCGGTCCATGGCCTGTTCAGAACCAGGCCGCAGAAGTGGCGGGTGAGCATGCATGTGTCTGCAGCTCCACTTGTGCATGCAGTGGGCAGGCAAGTGCATGCATGCAGCTCCATTTGTGCGACCGCACATGCCCGCCACTTGAACAAATGGAACTGCTGCACTTGCCCACCACTCACATGGAACCATCCCGCCTCTCCCCGCCCCCGATCCTCCAAGCTGGAGAGGTTGGGGACCGCAGTGATAATAGGATTGCTCCCACAGTAATTAACAACTATCTGTCCCATTTAAAGCTAAAACCGAGGCAGAACCAAAGGCTTTCAGCTTCACAGGCAGCCCTAAGGCCACAGATCTGCACCCTCAGCCTCTTATCAATTGCTGAAGTTGGCTAATGTTTCTTTTGTCTTTTTACTTTCTCTCCTTTCCTGTTCTTCTCACCACCTCCTCCAGCGGCAGCACCTTTCTCTTGCCCTTCCTTCTCTTCCATCCTCAGGTAGCCTTTTTATAACTCTTGCAGTGATCGTCACCATCCTCATATATTCTGAACTGGCTAAATTGCAGGATTTGGGTTTGGATAGGAGAAATGGGGCTTAGAGAGAGGGGAAGGGGAGCACGTACAGTGGTGTTTCTCAGCGTTGGTGAGTTTAACACGGGTGGAGTTCAACTCCCAGAATTCCCCAGCCAGCATGTCTAAACTGGGGCAGGAAAAGAAACTGGCATTGTGAAGTCTGATATCCCAAGGTCTGTTTTTTGCAAAATAACCTTGGCTGCCTTACCAGCCAGCATTGTGCTTTGCTGGTTGTGGTTTACAACCTGCACATAATGTCATTATTATTTATTCATCTGTTTGTGTGCTTGTATGTTGCTGTGTATTTATTTGCACATCAGATGCTGCTGTGTGTCTTGGCGAGAGGGAAAAGGGGGACCCCCTAGTTCCCTTTCTGGATTGTTTTCCTTGGTTCTCTCGACAGCAAAAGGAGGAGGGCGGTTAATGAAATGAAGCAGAAGATGGGCAGAGAAGGACTCAATGGCCAGTAGGGACAATTTCTGAAAGTATAGAAATTTCGCTTATACATCTACACTTTGGGGGCATCTGAGTTACTTTATAAGCAACTTGGGGTGGTGATTTAATTTAGAATACATATAATCCTCACTTAACGACTGTTTGAAGATGGAGCCTAGAGAGACTTACAACCCAAATTTGAAGTTCTGACAGGTTCTCTCCCCCCCCCCCCCCCCCCCCCCCC